ATCTGGAGACAGGATGCTGCTTTCCTCAGCTGCATGCCATCACTTGATGGAAAATGAAAATGTCCCTGGACCAGCATTACTTTTTCCACAGAATGAAACAGGCAAGTGATCTGCAGTCAGACTTCAAAACATAAATGTAAAAAAAAGCGTATTGTTAAGATTAGCCCTTCTGGTCTCCTCAGTTGCAGAGGACATTTCCGAGTAGTTGAGAACATCGGGCTCTTGCCCAGAGTTTCAAAACCCCAGAATAAGTAAGTCACCGCTTTTTGGAAGCCAGGTATAGGACTCAATCCTTTGGAAGAGATGGAAAGAAGGTTTCTGCAGGGCTCTGGCTGAAAAGACCTGTGGCAGGCCCAGAGGCAATCCCACTGACCCCCCACGCCCCTCCCCTGCACCGGGGAGAGGGGAACGCAGAATAGAAACTCGCACCCCTCAAACTTCACTCTCTTCTTCCCAGCTGGACACAGGTCCGTCAAGAATACTTGTCTACCAAGGAGACAACAGGCCACAGAAGCCATGATGACCCAGGACCTCAGATCCGTAACCCTCACCTACAGCCAGGCACACCCAGCAAAGATTTAGGTTCTTCAGAAGAAAAGGGGCTTCTGCCAGTTGGAGGGGTATTATTAAGTTGCGAACTGTGTGACCCAAAGCCACACCTCCTCATAAAATTGAACTGAACCGGAAAACAAGCACACAAATCAAACACAGGACACCCAGCACTGCGTCTAACAGGAAGATTCCACATCTAATACAAAAGGGTGTGAGAACGCTGACTTGTGACGTTTGAAGCCACAGAAGACTCATTTAGCAGAGTTGGTTAGGTGTCCTGGCAAGGACGGCCCTCCATGGGCTGCTTATTCAAGTGGTTCCAAGTCCTCAAACCTCTTCCTTTGAGTACAGAAGAGTCAGGTCTGGAACGGTGCCATGAGCCACTCTGAAAGGACAGGGGTAGTGTTTGTGTAGAGGAATCCCCCTGCCCCCCAAAATCAGGAATCAGAGCTTTGCTGTTGACCACCACTGCAGGAAAAAGTGAGGGGCAAGCCGTCAAGATTCCCGGCAGGGGAGAGGTCCTCTTTTTCTTAGCAGATGCAGACACCTGGCCTCCTCTCACCTCTCCCCAAACCTGCCAGCCTCAGTACAGACACCGCCAGCTTTACCAGAGCTCCCGCTGTCTGTGTGCCAAAGGTGGGGAGCCATTTCAGGCAAGCGTCCCAGCTGCTTGCTCAGCCCAACGCAGAAGGCCAACCCCTTCTGGGGGAAGCAGCAAGTGGGGTGGGAGGGGCTTCTGCCCCTGTCTACACTGCTAGGTCTGTACACTGCCCAGGCCCAGAAGTCTGAGGTCTTAGGGTTTCTCTGCCGTGTAGTTTATTTTCAGAATTGGGGCCGCCCCACAGTCAAACGTGGAGCCGCACAAGAGATGGAGTGGGTGTCCTGGAGCAGGAATCATGGAGGTGGGGGGGGGGGATCACGAGGCTGGCCGTGATGCAGGAAGTCGGAAGGGGGCGGGGGGATGTGTGGAGTGTGGATGCCTGCCTACATCCCTGGTTTCAATTTCCACACTTCTTGGGGAAGGCCTCCTACCCTCCCCATGGCCTCAATCTACTTTCTCAACTGTGGAGTAATAGCGGCTTTGGCTGGAAGTTTACTGGGTCTGGCGCTAAGCTATGCCAAGGGCAGCCCATACATTCTCTCATTTAACCCACGGCAAGTCCTTGGCGTAGACACCAGCTCCGTCTGCTGGTGGCAGGGGAGGGCTGAATGTGTCATGCACCGACCAGTGGGCAGGACTACCACGGATTGCTGAGAGCCAGGAAAACAGAGAACCCTAAACAGAGGGACCCTATCCAGGGCGACAGAGGGAAATGTGAGGTCAACAGAAAAGAGACCAAGAATCAGGCCTCAGAGGTAAAGACCCAATTGTAAAAAATTGTAAAACCCATTGGTTTTACAGATGAGCAAACTGAGGTCTGAAACACAAAAGCCACTTCCCAGGATGTCAAAGTGACCTGAGGACAGAACTAGACTAATACCCAGGTCCCTGTCCAGATTTCCACTGTTTTTTTTTTTTGGGGGGGGGTAGATGGGTAGGCAAGATGCCCCAGAGGAAAATATAGAAACAACTGAGAGTCAAGAAGTTAGGGTTGTGGGATGTTAGACGAACAGACTGGTTGCTGGTCTGGCTGTGAGCATCAGAAGCCCTACTCAGGGAGGGTGGGCTCAGCTGTCAGGGGCTGAGGCCGGCGCAGACGTGTGCCATCTCCCCACCTTGATCATCCCACTGCTTCTCTCTCTAGGTCGCTGCTAGGCCACCCCTCCCAGCATCCTTTGTTCATGAGGTGTTGCTGGCTCCTGGCCTCACACTCCTGTTTTCCAAGGCCCGCATAAGATCCCAAATGCCAAGTTTAAAAATTCCTGGTCTCAAGAGAGAAAGGTAACCGGTGCCATTATTACAATCTGAGCCGTTCCCTTTAAAGGTATCTATGAGAGCTTGTTTTTGCCTGGCTGGGCATAGCAGCGGGTTGGGGTGGAAAGCAGACTGCACTTTAAGCCAACCAGACGTGGCTTTAAACTTACTCCTGATGCTATCCTGCCACATGACCCTGGATAAGTCACTTAACCTTTCTGGAGACTAGTTTCCTGGTCACTGGTACCATGGGGATAATGCTTCCTGCTCCGGCTTCTCATGGGACCTGGAAAAGGCCTTTGCAGACTGTAGAACGCTGCCCCAGTGGATCCTGATACTCCTTTATTCTAGCATCTCTTCAGGGACCTTAATACATACAGGCCTACTGAACAATCGTTAATTCAGAAAAATGTGGCTTACCCGTGCTGTCCCCCCTCCCCCAAGTCCACTACCAGGTCCCCTTGTTGGTTTCCTGATGGAGACAGAAGAGGATGGGACTTAAGTCAGGGACCCAGGGCTTATGGTATTGATTCGGTCTCCGGGATCCTGGGCCAATCACCCCACCCCTCTCTGGTTCTCTGATTTCTCACTGTGAATATCAGGGCTAGGCTGGATAATCACCAAAGTCATTCCTAATTGTGGACCCAAACACTTCCAGATTCAGTCATATCTGTTTCAGATGACGTGGCTGACCAGCAGCGCCTGGTCCAGGTAGGGGCAGCTCTGAATATGGGTGGGGTGGTACAGGCTGGAGACAATGAGACTGAGCAGATACCGAGGAGCACTGGAGCCTCTCATCAGGCTCCTGCAGGAGCCACATGGCAGAGGGTGTGTGTGTGTGTGTGTGTGTGTGTGTGTGTGTGTGTGTTTAATGAAGGCACATGGCAGTCTGTGGTTCCTCCCTGGCCCAAACCCCTGATGCAACCGAGGCAGATAACTGAGGACTAAGTAACAGGGTGGCAGGGGAGATTGTGCTGGGGAGGGGAGAGGAAGACTCCCCAAGGACAGGGGTGGGGTGGGGCGGGGCTACCCAGCCTTCTCACATTCTTTTCTGGTGCCAGAGGTTGGTGAGAGGAGGAAGCCCAGCCTGGGAGCCAGCTGGCTGGCTGCTGGGGGCTGGTGGGAACACAGGGAGGAAGAGTGCCCACTGCTGTGTGGGGTGGTCTTCCTAAAACAGGCCAAGTGTTGGACAGGGGTACATCTATGTGGCATCCTCACTAGAATATGTGCTGTGTATGGCAGGTCAGACTCTTAGCATCGGCTCAGGAGAGAGGATTAAAATCTCAAGAGGTTTGCCCCAAGGTTCGTGGGGACCCCGGTGACCAGCTCCAGGGGAACAGGTACAGTATATTTTTTGCTACAAGGCTCTGGTGGCATGCCTGTTTCTACAGCCGTCTCTCTAGTGGTACAGGAATGCCTTTCCAAACTCCTTCCTTAACTGCAAAGGAGCAAATGCCATCCATTTGTGTGCAGGGCATGGGGGCCTCAGACTCAGGACACAAAGGTTCCCTTTTCCTTGCTTCTTTCTGTCTCTGGGTGGTCCCTTAATCCCCCAAGAGAAGGTGCCTGCCTCAGGCTTTCCAGTTGCAGAAAGGCCGAGTGCGGCCAGCAGTGGGTGTCATGCAGCTCCCCAGCCCGGTGTCCTATCCAGGTGAACCACAGTCCGTGGCCCCGCCCAGGCACTGGGTGGGCTGGCACAGGGGTGTAGGCCAGGCTGGAGGACCCGGGCTAGCAGTAGGCGGAGGGCACCTGATCTTCCCTCGGAAATGGGGAAACACAAGACTAAAAGCGCCAACAGGCATTTGCCCCACCTCTTCCCAACTCTCCCAGAGTTCTCTCCAGTTCAGATACTTATCGCCTTTGGGGGAAAAAAAAAAAAAATCAAGACAAGCTAGTCTTTCAGGTAGTTTCGAGGGAGTTCCGACTTTCTCACGGCGGGCTCAGAATCAAGCCTGCAGGCACCTCCTGGAGGGTGGAGGGGGTCTCCCACTCTCACTCAGGGACGCGTTCCCAATCCTCCCTCCCTCTCCCTTTCCGGTGTAAAAGTGTCAACAGCTCTGGGCTGAGCTCTCCTCGCCCCACTGAAATCCTCAGAGCGCCCGCATCTCCCCCCATGCCCTCCTCGCGGCCCCGGCCACTTGTGAGACCCCACCCAGATCGCGACCTGTACTGCCCGCCACAGTCGTCCCTGGCCAGGGCCTGAAGTTCCCAGAAGAAGGGTGCTCCGTTTCTCCTTGCCGCCTTCCCCTCCCGCACTCGGAGGGGCTGGGGGAGGGGAGGGAGCAGACGCCAACCGCACCCCAAACCCTCGGCGAAAAAGAGGGCTAGGGCCGGTCTCCCCGCCCCAGCTCCCTAGAGCCCCCCGCGCTCCGCTGCCCGGCTCGGGTTCGGAGGAGCCCCTACGATCGTGCCCGCCCCGCTCGTCTCCGGACCCGGTCGAGGAGCCAGCTGGCGGCCGCGGTGCCCTTTCTCCTCCCGCCCGGAGTCCACCCGGCGCGGGGAGTGCCAGTTACCGGCAGCCCCGACCGCGGACAGGGTCCCCGGGATGAACAGGTGGCTCCGGAGAGGAGCGCGGCGGTTGGCGCTCACTCACCCAGAAGATGAAGTTAAATCCGAAGAGCAGGTATTTGATGCACTTGGTGCCTCCTTTGACCGGCATGGTGCGGGCTAGACTGGCCTGGGCCGGACCGGTGTGGAACTGGGGGCGCGCGCGGCCGGGACGAGGGTTTGCAGACTTGGGACCGGGGCTTCGGCGGCTGCGGGCTGGCCTCCGGGCTGCACTTTTAAAAGTGCCACTCCTTACTGAGTCCAGTGGCTGCGGTGCGCATGTGCCGTGGACCCCGCCCCCGGCCGACTCGGCCCCTGGCCCCACCTGCCCCGCCTACGCCCAGAGGCCGGCTCCCGCCCGGCTTCCGGGCGGTACTGGGGCTCAGCGGTCTTGGAGCCCGCACTGCCCTTTCCTCTCTTTCCTCCCGGCACAGCCCTCTCGCTCACCTTCGTTGGCCCGACCCTCCTTCCCGCCGCCGACCTCCCCCTTTCCTCTCAACAGCCCCGGGATCATTCCAGACTGCTCGCTCCCCTCCTCCTCTCCGCTTTTACCTAAGAGTTCTGTGGAAGCCTTGCCCTGAAGTTCCCGCTTTGTTGATTCTTATCTCCCTGCCTGAGCCCTCTGCTACCGGAGACCTTTCTTGGGTCGTTGGGGGTTGGGGTTGGGATCCAGTCCCCTTACTCCAGGCGGCTGCCCTCCGAGTGAAGGCTCTTCTTGCTCTGTGCTCGATTTGAAGGGGAGCCGCCGGCCTTTATTTCTCCTTGAGGCGGCTACTTGCAAACTTTGGTTCACGGAGTACACTCTTTACTTGGCATCTCACTCTGTGGAACAGGAATTAGCAACTGGCAGTCCAGGCGGCAAGAGAGGATGGAGGGTTATGGGAGTAATTTTCAAATATGGTTCCTGAACAGTAATATGGCTGAGGAAGTCGAGGGGTCCTGCGGTGCTTCCTGGTCTTGGGGTTCAGATGCCCTGAGAGAAGAGAGAGTTCCTATCCAGGCTTCTGTTCTCACCTCTACTCCCCAGCACCTTTCCTCTTGCCCTTTGACCTCTACATGCTGAGTTCTGATCCCATTTCTCCTGGGCTCCACAACTTTCTGTAGCTCCCCACATTCAGTGACCTGAGTCGAAATTACCCATCTGACATTCTGTTCCTCATCTTGTGTCTATGCTGAATGCTGCTCTTCCCGGCACTCCCTGCCCTACTCAGCTCCCCACCTCTGTGTGGCCTTGCCCTGCCTGTGGCATGTGGTGTGGGCCTTCTGACTGCCTGGCCCTACCTCTTCAGTTGGAGAAACTCCTCTCCTGTTTCTCACCAAAGGATGAGGAGATTCCTTCTGCTTTTGAAGTCCCGAAGCCCCTTTGTATTTTTTTTTCCCCAAATGAAGTTTCCCTTACAAAAGCAAGAAACATCAGAAAATACCAACAAGCAAAAAAGGAGCCTAACTCAAATTTCACCCACTAGAAACAGAGGGTGTCGCCCTTTGTAGCTCTGATTTTGCTTTTTATTATCACTCTCAGTTGTTTCATTGATTTGTTCAAAAACATTTTCATGTTCTACTCCTAAGGGGGCTCCTTAGCTGCGTATCCAGGGCAGGAGTGGAGGGACTCAGGTGGCCAGACAGTGGGGGAGAGTACTGTTTGGGGCTTGGAGATAGGCTTGGAGGCTGAGGGAGCTCCGAGGAGGGGCCTCTGACACAGACTGGGAAGTGATGCTGCAGAACCAAAGGGAAAGTTGTTTCACAGGAGAATTTTCTGGCAAAGCCTGGGTCCCTGGGGCTCTCTGGGGTCTGGGGTGGAGCTCACAGCTGGGGGAGGTATGTGGAAGGTCAAGGTGGAGACCCAGGGGCTGGGGTGAGGGGGAGCCTCCCCTTGCTGTGTGATTTAGGTTGAGGGTTACCTATATTTTAGGCCGTTGGGTGGGGAGGGCAGGAGGTGCAGGCAGCAAGCCCCTTGGGGATAAGGACTAGTGTTTGTCTGTCCCGACCTCAGAGCTTTGGGGGATTATGAGGAAGGTGACAGGCGATGTGTTGTAACCGGGCCCTGCAACTGGGTAGTGTGAGGGGAGCATGGGACACAAAAGGTGAGGTGGGAACATGTGGAGAGCAGTCAGGAGGCCCTAGGAGAGGTCAGGTGAGAGACAGAGAGAAGTGAACAAGATGGGGAGATGGGGTATAGGCTGGAGAGTGCAGCAAAACCAGAAGAGAGGACTCTGTGTGTGTGTGTGTGTGTGTGTGTGTGTGTGTATGTGTGTGTGTGTGTGTGTGTAGGCGGGAGGGGGGGCTGGATCTCAGCCAGAACAGCTGGAGCCAGATGATGGGGAACTCCATTCACGTGTTCTAAGGCTTCTTGGGAGCCTGCTGTGATGAGGAAAGAGAAGCTTCGAGCCAGAGCCGGGTTCCCCTCAGTGTTGCACAATACTAGGAGCGAGGGACTGCAGGAATTTTGGTAATGCTTCACCTTCGTCACTCGCCCTAATCTAGTGTCCACTGAGGATGGTTGGGGCCGGGCAGTATGTGGGGGTGGTAGGAAATCAGACAATGTCCCATTGTGCTGCTCTGAGGCAGAGGCCACCTACCTAGGGAGAAACAGGTCGGAGGGAAAGAGGATTTTATCTTTTGGTATTCTTCTCTCCTCTCCTCCCCTGCTCCCCCCACCTGTTAACCAGTGCAGGTGGCAGGAGAGTTCAGTAACTATTAAGCTTATACTAGAAACCCCTTCTCAGGGTAATGTGCGTATTGAATGAGGTAGTCCTGTAGGAGGGCTTAGTTCAGTGCCTGGCACACAAGTGAGCAAGAAATGGGAGCTGTTGTTACCGTTACTGTTACAGAAGCAATGGGGCGGGGGTATGGTGCAGCTCCAAATTACATACAATCAAGGGGGTCCTTATAACGTGAGTGTGGCCATCTGAAGTCTTAACCCGACCCTTTGGTTTATTTTGGACAAGTCACTTGCTGTCTCTGGGTGTCAGGCTGTTCACCTGTAGAATGGGCACTTTGGGTTAGGAGATGGCGGGGTGCCCTCCATCTGACAATCCATGGTGCAAAAAGCTTCTGGGCCAAAGTGTGTTTATTATGGGCAGTTCTATGGGTAACCAGGAAAGGGAGAGATGGAAAAAAATGTGGTTTGCTGCAGTTGGAAGGGGAAAATTTGGGTAAGCCCCTGAGTCAGAGATCACATGGAGGCAGAGAGGGCTTCCAGGCTTTGTGGTGCTGGGAGTGGGAAACTTTCCCTCCCTTCCCTCGGGGCATCCTGTTTCTGGAAAAACCCCGGTTGGGGCTGAAGGCCCACTTTGGCTTTTGTGCGCCCCCTGGTGGTAAGGTTTGAAACCTCCGGGGCAGGCGAACTAATGACCTGCCACACCCATCTCCCCGGGACTGCTCATCTCTCCAGCCAGGGGTGCAACAGGCAGGACCCCCGCTCTCACTGGGCGCTCTCTGCCCTCCTAGACACCCCACCAGGGATCATTTGGGGACTTGTTTTCTTCCTGCTGCTGCTGCTGCAGCAGCATTTCACCATGCTGACCGTACCTTCTTTCTAGACATTTCTCCCTTGGGTGTCCCTGGTGCTACATGTACCATCTTGGTTCACTCCCTTAACTTCTAGAAACTTCTTTCCTGCTCCTCTTACTAAGGTCAAATGCCACCACTTTCATGAAGAACACCCCAGTCTTTTCCTCCATGGATTACCTTGTTTCAATCTCCCTCATGCTGACTCATTGACGTTCGCCTTGTTCTCTTGTGGCTTCACAGTTTGGTGGTAAGCTCCTCTAAAGTAAACTTCACCTGATTAATTTCTGTGTTTTCCGTAGAACCCAGTCCCTTGCTGGCCCATCAGGCCCTCTGCAAACATGTGTGGAGAAGCTGCAGAGGAGTGAGCCTTCCTCGGGCTTTGTGTCTCTGCCCCCCTCTCAGCTCTCACTTGGCACTCGCCCCCTCTCACTTTCTCTCTTTGGAGCTGACCTCTCCCTAAACTCATCATGGTAACAGAGGGCCTGTTGGGCATTTCCACTTTAATGGCCCCTCACGTCCGAACCCCCCAAAATCTGTGAGGAGGTCACCCTGCGTGCCAGAGGGCTTTTTGCACAGGTAATTAAGTTAAGGATCTTGAGATGGGGAGGTTATCCTGGCTTATGTTGGTGGGCCAGGTGTGATCAGTGGGAGTCCTATGAGAATAGACAGAAGGTCAGAGCCAGAGAAGGAGATTTGAAGGCGGAAGCAGAAGGCTGAGTGATGTGGGGCCACGTGCCAAGGAACGCAGGCAGCTGCTTCCAGTAGCTGGCGGCAGCGAGGAAGCCGATTCTCCTCTAAGGCTGACTGAAGGAACAACTCATTTTAGACTCCAGGCCTTCAGGACTATAAAATGATGTGTGTTATGGTAAGCCACTCAATGGGTGGTAATTTGTTACAGAAGCAATAGGAATCTCAAAACAAATATCCAGATCAGAGTTCATGACCTTGAGAGCCTCCCTGCTCCGGAGGTCATTCTCCTCACTGTCTCATCCGTCAGCACGGAGATTCACAGCACCTGTGACTGCTTCTGCCTCCAGTCCCACACCTGCCTCTCGAATGTGGGTCTTGCTTCTGGGAATCTCTCCCACCGCTCCTGGCAGTGGCCACAAGGCTGCCCAATTTAGAGATAAGGAAGCAAGCCGAAGAAGGAGGTGTTGGTAATTTATGGCCAAAGATTGGGTCTTGGGCCTTCTGCTGCCAGCTCTGAATTTCTCAGCCTTCATTCCACCTGTCCCCTGTAGGCCAGGCCCTCAAAGCTCTTTCCTCAACCCAAACAACCGTTCCACCCTCTTCCTGACCCCCTGTCTTCACTTGTCCAGTCTGAACACATCGCTCGACCCATTGCCTTGCACCATCGCTGGGCTTGGGCTGCTCTGGGCTCCTCTTCTCCCAGCCACACCTTTGCATTGCATTAAACATGCACCCAGTCAACGTGGGACCACCTGTGTTTAGTGCGCAGTCCCTGAAGATGCCATGGAGAGCTGGAGGAGGGAGGACCCCTCAAAGGCCAGAGAGCACCGATCTAAAAACCCTTTCTGGGTGTCTCTTTCTGCAAGCTCCCATTCCGTGGCAGCCGCTCCTGCCTTGCCCCACCCCCAGCCCCCACCAGCCAACCTTCTGTCCATGAGCAGCGGTGAGTACTCACTGGGCATTTCCAGTCTGTATTCTCCACCCCCACTTCCCCAGCTCCGCAAAGCAAGTGTATTTCTCAGGATCTGTCCTCTGTAGGCGACTGAGGGGCGG